CCCCACTGAGGTGGGGGCGGGAAAGGGACGGAGGGAGGAGGGGGCTGAGAGGGCCGTGGCCGAGGGGATGGATGGGGGAAGTGGGGGGCTGGGAGAGGGTTGCTGGGGCAGGGAGAGGGGCCTGAGAGGGAGGGAGGCGAGATGGAGACCCCGGGAATTGGAGGCTTGGGGGGGCGTGGGCAGGGAATCCTGAGCGGGGGAATTCTCCACACCTTCCTCGTTTCTTCTTCCTGGTCTTTGGCCCCACATGACTTCAGGGGGTGGGGGGGCAGGGGAAGGAAAAAGGCGGTTTATTGCCCTCCTCCTTCCAGCTGAATTCGCTTCCTAGGAATGTCCTCAAACACCTCTGTTTCCTTCCAGGTACAGGTTTCAAAATGTGTTAGACGCTCACTGACACAGATAACCTGGTGTGGGCCCATGCTTTCTACATGGAACCTGTGTTAACCTTTCACATGCTCCATGGCTTGTGTGTGCCTCAGTCACCCCTATGTTGTCCGTGGACTCTGGAGAAGGGCCATGCTCCTCTTTGGGGTCCCCTGCCTCCCAGTTTTGACAGTCTGGGACCACTTCTCTGCTTGTCTTCCTGCATGGCATCGATTGTGTGGATTCGTGGTAACTGACATGTTTTGTGTGTTTGCATGCCTACCTTAGCGTGTTTCACGCACGGGTGCCATGCCTGGTCCATGCCCGAAGCTTCCGAAGCTTCCTCCTCCGTGGGGTCCTCTGGTTTAGCTGACTCGCACACGGAGTGGATTGGCCTGTTTGCGGTATGTTTTCACACTGCACGCATGTGCTGCTCCGCAGGACGCCCCGATACGAGCTGTGTGATTTATCTCCTCGCTTCATTGGCAGTATAGCTTGTGAACCGTGTGCTCATTGCCCCATTTGGTGTGCTCCTGTGTGTGTTGAAGTCCTTGAGCGTCTGCTCCGGAGAGGGTCTGATTTCAAAGCCCATTTTTCAGTAGGAGGTATCCAGGATGGAAATGCAGCTCTCGGGTTCCCAAAGAACTGCCCCATGTGCCTGACCTCCCTGACTCACAGGATCTCTTGACGGTCTCTTGAAGGTGGCCGTGGAACTCGTATGTGCTTGTCATGGCGCCATCCCCTGCCTGGCTTTGCAGAGATGACCAGGCACCCCTCTTTGCACTGGAGCATGAACTCAGTGGCTCCTTCCTCTGTGACAGGGAGGCCCCCTTCTGTCGGTTTCCCTAGTGCGTGAGATGAGCTCTTTTGTGTTCATGACCGTTAACTGCTCTGCCTGCACCAGACCGCTGAGTTGTTTGTGTGTGCTCAGAGTTAGACTTGGGGTGTTCATGGTTTTCTTGGTATCTTTTCACAAGAGGTGTGGCTATCTGATTTCATGATCAGTGTTGTCTTGTTCATTGTGGGCGTATGGGCAGATAGACAGCCTTCAGATCCACTCAGCAAATGCTTGTGGGCATTGGGGATAAGGCAGGCCCTGCCCTAAGGCAGCTTACAACTGAGAGAGGGGAGTGTAAATGCCAGTGAGCAGTTAGGCATGCTGTGGGGCCAAGAGCAGGGATCCTCCCAACCCCAGTGCGCATCAGACTCACCTGGAAGGCTGGCTGAGACTCCGGCTGTTGGGCTCCGTGCCCAGAATCTCTGATTCAGGTGGTGTGTGTGGGGTGAGGTCCAAGAATCCGTATTCCCGACAGTACGTGGCGCTTTTCTGGGACCACACCTGGCAGCCCACTGCTCGGGATACAAGTGGCCATGAAGACATGGCTCCAGGAGGTTCCAGAAGCCTTGCCCAAAGTGGCGTGGGACAGAAAGACCCAGAAGCCCGTTCCAGCCAAATGGAGGGAATAGCACGCCCGAGGCACAGAAGCTGGAAGGCCCGTGTGCGTCTGAGGAACTGAAGGAAAGTCGTGTGCCTGGAGCAAAATGGCCTCTTGTAGGAATATGATCAGCAGGTCACCTGGTCACGAAGGGCCTCTAGGCCAGACAGGGAAAGGGTCAGAGTTGAGATATAGAAAAGGCCGTGGTTGCCATGTGGAAGGCTAGAAGAGTGAGGAGCCCATTGCAGATAGCTCAGGGGCCAGGGGGGATCCGAAGCTCGTGCCCCTTGACGCTTGCCCTTTGACACGGGGTGAATGCCGGGGAGGGGGGGGGTGCTTTTTGGAGAATGACAGGCACTCACGTGGTGAATTATGACCCTGTCCCCCGAGTGGAGGAAGGAGGAAGAACTAGAAGGCACGTGCTTTGTGCCTGCGCTCCTTCCTCCTGAGCCAGGCCCGCTCCGGGAACTGGTGATGTGACACCCCTTTTATTCTCTCCTCTCGCCGCCGCTTGGTGAGGCCTTCCACCCAGTACCTGCCCTACCTAGTTGCCTCCAGGATCGCTGCCGAGGGGGTTGGAGCTTGAGTGCCTGCCGGGCTTCTGTGTAGCCCCTTGCTGGGTTTATCTGGGGATCCAGGGAGGCGGCTTGGGGGGGCGGGGGCAGTTCTAGGTATGCATTGATAGCCCTTGCTCTGTGACTGCGTAAATGTGGGTGCCAGAGAGAAGGTGTGCCACCCGTGGTCGTGGATGTCTGTGTTTGCATTGGTGACATGAGCCTTTTTTCTTGCCAGTCAGCCCTTGGGTGACTGTGTGTGGGTGTCACTGTTCCCGTCTGCTGTGTGTACGTGTGTCCCATGCATACACAAAGCTCCAGCTGCTTGGGTTTACTGTAGGCTCTGCCTCTTAGGAGCCATGTGACTATAGGTAAGTCATTTGATCCCCCTGGCCCTGTTGCCTAGAAAAGGTGAATGACCCTGAAGAGGCTTCAGAAAGTTTCCAGGGACAGGCCTCTGACCTCGTCATTCTGTTTTGCCACCAGCTTTCTGAAGCCCTTTCATCTACTCGTAGGGTATTGTGTGGCTGAGACTGGCGACAAACGTCTACCTCAAGCCCGTGGAGGATTCTTAACTCTAGGAGCCACACTGAAAAGGTTGAAATGAGAAAAACAGCGAAAGTTATTTTAGTCCGGTGCCTTATTTAACCTACATGTAGCCAAGATAAATAACTATCTAGTGGGGCGAGTCTGGTTCTTGTTCTAAGTCTTTGAAATCTGATGTGTGGCATCTTCCAATTTGACCCGACCGCATGCCAAGTGCTCAGACCAGCCTGTTGGCCAGCACAGGTGTAGACCGTTAAGAGGCTCTTAGCAGTGACAGGTGTTAGCGGGCGTCACCATATATGTCCTTTCATTTCTCTTCCTTTCCACTGGCGCGGAGTGGATGCTGACTGGCAGCGACCCCGTAGGACGGGAGAAGTGCTCCCGTGGGCTTCTGAGACCGTCGTCACTGTGGACGGGAGTCGAGAGCCCCCTTGTTCTCTCTGAGGGCGGCTGGTGGTTCCAAACTGCTGCCCTTGCAGACCGCTCTCGGCCCAGTGTGTGACCACTGCGCCACCAGAGCTCACGGCCCTTTATGACTGTGTCTGAACCGTGATGTCCGCGTCTGACTGATGGGGAGCCTGCGCGGTGTGCTCCTGAGGTCCCCATCCTAGAGGCTGGGAGGGAAGGTTTCTGTGTCCAGTAGGAGTCTTGACCCTTGTCCTCGCAGTCCCCCCACTCTGCCTTCTGTGCCTTGGCCGCTGCTCCTTTCCTGGAATGGAACTAGGCCCTGTCGCTCGCCCCGTCCTCTGCAGGTGGCCAGAATGGAGCTGTGGCCAGGGGCCTGGACGGTGCTGCTGCTGCTCCTGCTGCTGCTGCTCCTGCTGCTGCCCACCCTGTGCGTCTGTAGCCCCAGTGCCACGTACTTCTTCAAGATGGCTTTCTACAACGGCTGGATCCTCTTCCTGGCTGTACTTGCCATCCCTGTGTGTGCCGTGCGAGGACGCAACGTGGAGAACATGAAGTGAGGGGCCCTACGGGGCGTGGGGGGGCTGGGGCTGGAGCATGTGGACAAGGCTAAGCACCCCAGGGCCAGGGAGGAGGAGGGGGAGAGCAGGCTTTAAGGACCGCCGGGGGAGGCGCCACCTGGATGGATCCCAGCGGAACCCCTTGCTGCTACCCTCCCAGGATCTTGCGTCTGATGCTGCTCCACATCAAATACCTGTACGGGATCCGGGTAGAGGTGCGAGGGGCCCACCACTTCCCCCCCTCACAGCCCTACGTCGTCGTTTCCAATCACCAGAGCTCCCTCGACCTCCTCGGTGAGACCCCTCTCCTCGGGGCACACCCCGCCTGCCTGTCCTTTCAGACCCTTTCCCCAAACCTCTCCCCTAGGGCCCTCACTTCCCTCCGCCCCACCAAGCCTTTCAGTAGGGCAGTACTGCTTTTGCAAGCAAGGTGGGCACACCACTTTAGCACTCTTCGCTCCACCTGTAGCCCCCCCACCTCACCTGCACCCCATCTTGCTCCCCTCCTTCCCTTCCATTGTTTCCCAGTCCCTAGCAATGTGGGCAGCCAGCGGCCTGGGTGGGGTCCCTGCCTCCACCCTGATCCTCACCCCTGTCCCCCCTGCCTAAGGGATGATGGAGGTCCTGCCTGGCCGCTGTGTGCCCATTGCCAAGCGCGAGCTGCTGTGGGCTGGCTCTGCTGGCCTGGCCTGCTGGCTGGCGGGCGTCATCTTCATCGACCGGAAGCGCACAGGAGACGCCATCAGTGTCATGTCGGAGGTGGCTCAGACCCTGCTCGCCCAGGACGTGAGTCCCGCGGGGGCACCGGGAGTCTGAAGGTTGTCGCCCAGCTGTTCTGCCGGAAGGACCTCACGGGTCCCAGCGGAGCTTTGCCCCGCCTCTCACGGGTCCCAGCGGAGCTTTGCCCCGCCTCTCGGCAGCCACTCCTATAGTGGGTGTCCTCCTTGACCCTTTCCCTCCCCCAGGTGCGAGTCTGGGTTTTCCCTGAGGGAACAAGAAACCACAGTGGCTCTATGCTGCCCTTCAAACGGGGCGCCTTCCACCTCGCGGTCCAAGCCCAGGTGATTACGACTTCCCCTCGCTGCAGCTTCTCCCCACAGCGGCTGACCCGGAGGGGCGCAGAAGGAAGCTTCAGTCTGATCCCCCTTTCCCCTCCCCCAGGTCCCTATCGTCCCCATAGTCATGTCCTCCTACCAAGACTTCTACTGCAAGAAGGAGCGCCGCTTCACCTCGGGTGAGGGCTCTGGTCGGGGATGGGGGGTGGGGGGTGGGGGGACATCCCCATGAGCGTGAGGACCGGTCCGTATGGAACGTCAGTGCTGCAGGAATCCTCGGATTCACCAGTCAGACCGCACATCATCAAACATTGGTTCACCATTCCACCGTGTGTAAAACGCGCCCCGCTGGACAGACTGTGTTAAGCAAGGGCAGCCGTTCAAACCCCCCAGCCGCTCCTTGGAACACCAGACAGATGAGACTGTGTGCCATCTCAGAAAGCTTGTGCAGGGCGGCTGTGAGTGGAGGGCTCAGTGGCAGTGGGTTATGTGGGTGACGCTTAAACCCCCCTAGCGGGGCTGTAATCTGGAGGGGAAGACAGGCGGAGTGTGCAGGGCACCCTGAACGAAGCCCGCCGCAAAAGCCAGAGCGCCGGGCTGCAGGCAGACTGAGGAGGTGTCTGGGCTGGCCGGGTCTTGGAAAGGCTCTGGGGAAGGGGCTCAGATTGGGTGCCTGCTGGCAAGCAGAGGGGCGGGCGGTGTCTCAGAACCGCAAGTCTGAAGAAGGTGCAGCCGGGTTTCCCCCAAGGAGCTGAGAGCCGGGCCCCAGCTGGAGGCAGAGGTCTGCATGGGCGAGCCCTAGCCCTTTCCCTCCCTGCTCCCAGGGCGATGTCAGGTCCGCGTGCTGCCCCCAGTGCCCACCGAAGGGCTGACACCAGACGACGTCCCAGAGCTGGCCGACAAGGTTCGGCACTCCATGCTCACCGTTTTCCGAGAAATCTCCACTGATGGCCGGGGCGGCGGCGACTATCTGAAGAAGCCTGGAGGGCTGGCCGAGGCCCGGCTCTGAGCCCCCCACACCTACCCTCCCTTTCTTCCTCCCCCACCCTACTGCCCCTCTTCCCACCTGTTCATCTCTTTGGAGTCTTCAGCTTCTGAAGTGAATGGGGTACAGCGCCCCTCCCTGCCCCTTCCCAGCCCACCCTCGGACTCTCTTGCCTCGGTGAGCCTCCACTCTGACCCCCACCCCTACCCTCCTGCCACCTTGTCTGTGGAACAGCCGCCTCCCC